TAAGCAACATAAATGCCAATTTGGTGTGAAAGGTAGACCAAAGTGCGAGAAAGGAATACAACCCAAATATTTCCTTAAAATGTTTCCACAAACCACTCAAGAACTAATTAAATTGATTTGACACAAAAGAATGACAAGCTTTATGCATTATGTTAGGTTTCCTTCAATTTAGCCGACACTTCTTGAAAAGGTAAATTAAACCAGAAAAGCCGTGAAGTTTCTTAAAGAGAGGTGTAATTCGTCTTGAAAAACTACTCGTCTAATAGTGCGTCTCAATTCCTCCATTCGAATTTTTTCTAATATTTCAGTTAAACTTAGACAACATCTGCCGTAAACCAAAATGAAACAAGAACGATTTTTTAATTGTAACGCTCAAAAATTCAAATTATATCTGTTCCACAAACATGTGTCCACACATAATATTATAAATTAATGTAATTTGTCAATGTTTTCGCTTAAAACTCAAATCTTAATCGCATCACTTCAAAATCGAAAGCAAACTTTTTTCGCTTGATTCCTTTTAAAGAAAAACTTTCTACCTGACACATTCACTGGTGAGCCCAAAGTAAGGATTATAAGCTGTTATCGATACTGCATCAAATTCGATTCCTCCGCTTGCTATGTCTACATTAATACTTACCGCCGTCCAAAACCAGGAGACAATAAGCGAGCGTGACTTTTTCGGTTGATCTCTCTAACTCGATAAGTCATTTTTCCGATGATTTGTTCTAAAACTACAAGTTAATCAAGTAATTCTTTTTACCTTTGTAACAGGGAAAAACATTCTGCGAAATGTTCGTAAACAATTGCGTGTTACTTTCGGTAGTGGTGTCCTATGGTTTTCAGACGTCGTCAGGGACGACAAGTAAAGATCGTTATCATGTGCCTGGCGACATCACAATTGGAGCTTTGATTACACTACACCACACCAATGATGATGGCGAATGCAGTGATTTTTCCTCAGCAGGACTTGGCCATGTGGAAGCTATGAAGTTCGCCATCGACACAATTAACAGGAACCCACGCCTGCTTCAAAATGTGACTCTAGGATATGACATTCGGGACTACTGCACAAGCACTGTAAAGGCAATGAAACACACGTACGATTTTGTCCGGAAAAATGAATTGGCCTCAGAATTTCAAAACTCCAGGTTCGTTGGTGCATCAAAGAATAACACAGAACAGAAGAAACCTACTCCAATAACAGCTGTGATTGGTCCGACCGATTCAGGGGCTGCAATCTTTGTAGGGAGCCTTTTACAAGTGGCTGAAATCCCACTTATCAGTTACTCGGCAACAAGCGATGAGTTAAGCTCCCCGCAGTACAGTTACTTTTTTCGCACTGTTCCTCCCGATAGAAAGCAGGCGAAGGCAATGGCCGATGTAATAGATTACTTCAATTGGAGCTATGTGGCTGCTGTGGCAATGGACGATTCTTACGGTCGAAATGGGGTCCGGAGCTTGGAAACTGAGGCAGGCAAAAGGCAGACATTTTGCCTTTCTTTTGCAGATTACATACCAAGAGAAAAGTACATAACAAAGCTAGAAAGAACCGTGGAGAAGCTTCGAAGCCACACAAATGTTCACGTTGTGGTGCTCTGGCTATTAAGAGGATATGGACGTCGATTGTTTGAGGAAGCTGCAAAACAGAAAATGTACGACCGCACCTGGATTTTCAGCGATAGTTTGACGGCTGGAGGGGAGGAGCTTATGAAAATGAAAGACGAATATAAAGGAGTTGTCCATGGGTCACTTGGTATTGAACTTCGTCATTTTGATGTTCAATATTTCCAAGATTTCTTGATCAAAGAATCCATCAAGTCCTTACAAGAGGAAAGCGCCTCTGCTCCTTGGTGGAAAGAGTTTTGGAAGCAAAAAGGTAATTCATCTTCCAATGAAACAGTTATTAGTTCGGTATACAACAGCTACATTCCCTATATGGTAGATGCCGTGTTTGCTGTTGCCTTTGCTATTCACAACTTAAGCAAAATCTATCCTACAGTCGATCCAAAGAAACTCAAGGCACATCTTCGCCAAGTCGCATTTAATGGAGTAACTGGGGAAATCCAATTTGATCAGTTTGGAGACCCTAAAATGTCGTCTTATGATATTGTACATTTTCAGATGAATGAAAACTCCGATTTAATAAAATTAGCCATCGGATCGTGGGATGAAAGTCGAAAGGGAATTCAGTTAAACATTTCCGGCATAAAGTGGAATCCTGCTGCAGGTCACAAAATTATTCCAAAGTCATTCTGCCATAGAGATTGCCTTGCTGGTGAATATCAGTTGCCGACGACCTCTTGCTGTTGGACTTGCCAAAAATGTCTGGATGGAACTGTTAGCGCTGGAGTGAATGATATGAATTGCACCTTATGTCCCCGTGGACAAAAGCCCGATGAACGGAGGTCAAAATGCTTGGATCTCCCTGAAGTAGAAGTCATGTGGTCAAGTCCCGCGTCTGTCCTTATCGTTCTGTTTGCGACTGCTGGATTCCTTCTCCTTGCCATTTGCAGTTTCATTCTCTTTAAATTTTGGAACACTCCCCTTGTCAAAGCAGCTAATCGCGAGTTAAGTTCTATCCTTCTGTTTACAATCACATTGTCCTTTTCTTCCTCTATTTTATCCCTCAGCAAGCCTACGAGCTTTACGTGCGCTTTGCTTCACTGCTGGCGACCCATGGTTCTTGTAACAATCATCTCCATACTGATAATTAAGACCATGAAGATACTCAGCGCATTCCAAATTAACGTTATGGCCGAGAGATTCAAAATCTTTATTCTTTCCACAAAGAGACAAACCTTAATTGTTCTGATGTTAATATTTCCACCAGCTGTATTCTGCTCGTTATGGATTACTTTGGACTCACCACACCAGCAACGGATCATACAGACAAATAGAGGTTTAATTCTTCTCTCGTGTTCTTTGCATCAATCGTCCGTTGGAATGAGTTTTCAAATCGCCATATCTGTGTACACGTCTCTTCTTGCGGTGGCTTGTACATATTACGCCTTCAAAGCTAGAACACTTCCTGAAAACTTTAACGAAGCCAGGTATATTGGATTCTCTATGTACATCTTACTACTTTCAAGTGTAGCATACTTCCCTATTGACATTGGCCTAAGGGGTTCCCATGCAACAAACTTGACTTGCACCATGGTACTTGTCAGTTCATATGGACTATTAAGTTGCATGCTAGGTCCAAAGATTTACGTAATTCTTCTCAAACCTGAACAAAATACACACCAGGCCGTCGGTTCACAAGTGTTAGACTACTCGTTTCGCGTGTCGTTGAGGGATAAGACAGCGGTGACACCTATAGAACCGAACGCCTTCAACAGGCAGGAAATGTTGCAGCTAGAATTTGCTTCTACCAGTAACTGTACAAATTAAGGTTTTAAATGTTGTCATCGGAGAAGAGAGGACCTGTTTAGGACGTAAAAGGGGGAGCGGGGGAAGGGAATTATGGGGAATAGAAGAAAAAAAGTTCAATAAGTAGGAGACTGGATATTCAGTTATAAACATGTGCATGTAGACGTTCTTCTTCCCAAAAAATTGAGACACCTGTAAAGACAACTTAAGAGTATAGGACACATAATTGAATTACATATTATTATAAATGCATTTATCTGAGACGTATTTTCTCCATAGAAAATTTTGTCAAAAGCAGTCGAACATGGTAGAAAGTAGGACGAGAGTAATTGTTGAAATTCGTATTACCATAAATAGAATTATGTGCAATCAGCCCAGAAAAGTCGTTCATCCTGACCTTTGTGGTAAATTTTTAATTTCTTTGGTTTCCATCACTCAGACGAAAAGTGCAGCTGTAACTAAATGTGCAGTAAGTTACCGTTTTATTGTGACTCATGTTTCCAAAAATAAAAACTAGGCGAGAGTTTACATTACATAAAGAGACTGTTGTTCGCTAATGTCATTCATATCAGAAATAGACGCTGGGTCTGGATCTGATGGCGGAGAAGCCCATCAAAGAACAGTCATAGTACTGAATGGTTAGCTTCTGTAGTTTTCAAGTTTTACCGAAACTACAGAACTGCATCCTGCGTGTATTATTACGCCGGCATACCGATAGAGAGTGCAGTTTATTGCTTACATAAACCATTTATATTTCTTTATAATTGACAAACTAATACTCGAGAAAAAAACCTTACAGGATGTTACAAAAACAAATCCTGAAAGATTTTGAAGTATTTGTCACAGGCTCTCGGGAAGACAACGTAAGGAAAAATTAGTCCTTTTTAAACGGTGGTCTTTGTGGCCGTTCCGATTGGTCCTTTGTAATCTCCACAAAGGGGCCAATGGGAGAATGTGAAAGCTGTGAAGATGCTCTGAAGATAATCCCAGATCATTTTATAGCAAAGATTCAAGCTGGGAGAGAATACCATACACAAACATTTACAGAAAATGGAAAATATTTTAAAAGGGTTTTTTCACCAGCAGGGTCCATTCAGCCTGTAAAATAGCACTGGTTGATTGTTTACATTAAGAATAAATCGCATGGCTGAGAGCCAATCAGATTGCAAGGATCACCAGTGATTGCAAAATGGATGTAATCAAAATGTATATCACCAGCATTTTCCAAACAGCTAGTAAAATAGCAATTGACTGTCTATATTAACACCAGATTAGAAAGTCGACATCATTTTAAGTAGAAAAAAAAGGGTGTAACCAAAATAATTCTTGTAAATAGAATAAAAGAGATGGTAAGTTTTGAGCTTGGTTACGAAATAGAGAAAGATGTTTTTTTGTCTTCTCTACACAGCGTGGGACTGAAAAAAATTCTGAGTCCACATGAGGAATCTGAAGGTCTGAGGTTTGATTCCTCATGGGGACTCAGAATTTTTTACCTTTTCCCACACTCATGGCAAGACAGAAACATCTTTCTCTAAAATAATATTTCTTTATCACCTCAAACCTCAAGTCTGGGAGCAATTTGAAAAACAAGTACAGATATACATGTAGCCAAAGGATTTCAAACATACCTTGTGAAGAAATCCCACAAGAACATCAGCTGACCTGTCAATAAAATACAAATGAGTTATACTCTGTTTTATGGGACATCTAGGGCTTAACTATCAAGAAGTTCATGAAGGATAATTCAATGCATGTCCAGCCACTATCAATAGAAACATATAACAGTTTTCATTTCTTATATTCCATTACCTGTGTCCAAAATATTCTATTCTCTTTCCTCTGTGATAAACCATAATTGCTCCAGAGTATTTCACACCTGCAGTTAGTTAGAAAATTCATATTTGAAATGTAAAGTACATCTGATGGAAAAAAATTTTTAAATATTTGTCCAAACATGTAGCAATTAAGAATGATTTTTAACAATTTTGCTCCCATTCTGATGATGTCACTTCAGAGCGTTTGGTATTGGATCAATTAATAATCCCATAATTGATATTTTCATTCATGCTTGTGACTTCTCTTCTTGATATTGTATTGATATTGCATTTAGAGAAATTCTGTCCTGGTAACTCTCATGTGAGTTAAAGGGTTAACTGAAATGTTCATTGTATAGCCACATTTGAGGAGAGGGATGGGTGTAGATAGGTGAATGCCATTTGTGTACAATTTGCTGTCTTGACCTTTCACCACCAGACTTCAACAAAAATTATGACATAAACTGGTAAAATCAAAATCAAAAGTGCAAGCATGTTTCAATTACTCGCATTACGCTCACTGATGACCTGTCTGCATTGAAGCATGGCAGAGGAAATTTCTCCTTAAAGGGAGATTAAAATTCTGTGTTGATAATGTTATACCTTTAACCCTTTAATCCTTTAACCCCTAAGAGTGACTAGCATAAAATTTCTCCAAACAGTATGACTCCTGCATCACACAGTAAGGTCATGAGAATAAAGGAAATGATCACCAACTAAATATTCTCTTGATTGATAAACAAATTCTCCTTGTCAGCACCTTAGGAAATGCATTGAAAACAGTAAGGATAATATGCATACTGACATTATCCAGCAAAAAGGTAATGAGAATACTCATACTTATCAGGTAGAAGTTGTATCTTGATTTAACACCAAATTCTCGTAACTAATTAAAAGGGAAATATGTAGCAGCTGGAGGGGAGAATTGACAATCAGATCTTGAGAGTTAAAAGGCTAATTGATTCATGTGTAAGTTGTGCATTCACCAAGATATGAAGTAAAGTTGAACCTTGATTAATCTATATTTTTTTTTTTATATTTGGACACACCTCTCTGGTCTCATTTGTTATGAATATAGTAACTAGTCATATTCCAGATCTGTAACAATTTTTTGCATCAACAAAGCACATGTAATGAGGCAATGTTGATGCTATAATTCTATTAAATGAATGGAGCTTCAAAGATTGATAGAATTAGCGATGTATACATGCTGTAGCAGTTTGAAACAAACTGATTTACATCCTCATTTAGGCTGTAAGCACTGTAAGTTGACTATAATAACTTTTTGCAAATCTTAACAGTGATGCACAATAATTCAAATGGTGCATACTCAGTTTTATTTTTGGCTCATTAACATCATATTGTCATATATACACAGGCTCACAATTATCCAAACTAATCAACTCAGTCCCAACAAGTCCAGATAATTAAGGTTTGACTGTACTCAGAAAGCTTGATGAGCACCAAAGACACCTGATTTTCTCTCTTTTGTGCCTTGAGCAATTCTTAGGTATTTTTTGTGCTCTTCAAACTTCCCACTTGCTTAATATCTCAATTGTTCAGTGTTCTTGCTTCAGACAATATATTGTTGATTAAGGTAGCACATACCCATTTCTTTTACTAGCTCCATGTTTTCAGCAACATTAACCACACCAACTGTGACACCCTGTGGTTGAAGAACTCGAGCTACAATCTGTGGAAGGGAAATATTATAGATGGCAACTTCTGTTAGTCAATATATTATAAGCACTGCTGGAAATTTGCCTTACTAATATTTGCACATCTTATATACTAAACCATCGAAAAAGGTGTTTATACATGTCAAGTCTGTCAACTTGGAACATTTTTTCACACCCTGTGTTACACTTACAGTGTCACCTGCTTGTTATACCTCTGGGAACTGCTGAGACTAACTAATTTTAAAATAGAGCACCAAGGGAATTATACCAATTTGGGAAAAAAAAACTCTTCATAAGATGGCCATTGAAGCTACGACTACCTTAACCCTTTCACTCCCAAGATCTGATTAGTAATTCTCCTTACTATCTGCCATACAATTCTTATGATGTTAGTTCAGAAAATTTGGTATTGGATCAACTAATAATCCCATGATTGATATTCTTCTCTATTCTCATCACCTGCCTGCTTGACATTGTATTGATAATGTAAGGAGAAATTCTCTGTTGGTCACTTGTGGGAGTGAAAGGGTTAAAAGTTTCAAACAAAAAAAAACCTGGAAAAGGTTGTGGTTATTCATTGTGGTGAATAACAATAAAAAGCTAAGTTTTTTGTTTGTCTCACAATGTAGTCACGTGTGATGTAGATCGCGACGTTTCGACTGCATACTGCTAGTCTTCTTCATGGCAATGATTTTTAAAAAAAAACCTGGAAACATCTGGTTAACTCTTTACACCATAGCATTAGAAGGTATATTCTCCCTACTGTTCTCTATTTTTTTCATAAGGTGCTGACAAGGAGAATTTGTTTAACAATCAAGAGCTTCTTTAGTTGGTAATATTTCTCCTGTTCTTATGATTTTAATGTGTGATTCAAGGGATGATACCGTGAGGAGAAATTAGATGCTGATTACTTTTAGGGGGGGTATGATTAGATAATTTGGTTTTATTGACTGAGTTGATAATGTAAATTAGCCTCTGTAAAGAATTTCTTAGGCTGACATTTTGAGCATTTGCCCTTCATCAGAGTGGAAAGAGAAATTGGAAGTTCTTTGTTGTTGATAAACAGAAAGATAAAACCGTGCTAGTCACACACACCACTCCTTCAAATCCTCGCATGAACCTTTAAAGCTTCCAGCTTCAGCTTAGAAACTCTCTATGTTGGCCTATTTAAATTATCAACTCAGTTGATAAAACCAAATTACTCAATTTGTTTGTCTGTTGTTTTTTGGGCAACAAGGAATTTATGTAGCAGCATGAGTTTCACTTCCTCTCAATTCAAACAAAAACCTCCTGTGGAAAGCACAGATAATCAGAGACCAAATCTCCCAAGACACAGCTGCTCACTCCTTTTTTTTTCCTTATACATTTCAATTTACGTTTTAACTTGACAGTCTGGCCAGTGATCCAATCATTTTAAGGCCCTAATTTCTTTAGTGCTTAACTGGCTACAAAGTAAATCTTACCATTTATAAACCTGTCAAAAACAAAATAAATCTCATGGTAAGGAACAACTGAGAACTTGAATAGATTTTGATGTTGATATAATTAACTAAATAACCGAATATTGTATCCATCTATAACCTCAAAATTTGAAACCCAAAATAAAAAAATTTCCCTATCTGTTTTGGAACAATTTCACTTTTCACAAAAACAAGGTGTTGAAAGTCATTTATGCCAAAATCAGAGAGAAGGAAAAATATTATGACAGCAAAATGTGTTTGATTTTCAAAAATCATCTATTATTGAAGAACAATTTACACCATCAATTAGAACTGGCTAATTAATTATTGACAGTTTTCAGCGGAGAGAGATCTTTGTTTCAGAACAAACAGTAACTATAATTTCAAAATTTCTTATCTGAAAAGATTTTTGTTTATTCCGTACTTTGTCGCCTCCATGAATGCGTTAAATTTACAAGGATTCACATGCTTTAAGTTGAAAGCATCTAATTTGCCATATCACCCATGAAATGAAACCCGCATGAAAATTTGGAAACGAAAATAATTAAGTTAAGCTGATGTGAATATGAAAACAAATCCCACAGGAAAAACCGTAGAGTTTTATCTCTCAGGTAAAACTAATTCGTAAATTTGTTTCTGTTGATAAACTTCAACACGGACTTGAATTCCCTCACAAAAGACACGAGAAATAAATTTTCAACAAAATTAATTATTTTAAATTCAAGTGAGACAATAACAAAGAACTGTGAATGATTTCACGTGCAAAATATACATGATAAGTATTATCACTACCTCGACTGACCGATTGCTGTATCAGAGTAATGTGAGCTTCCATCTGAGACTTATCTAAAAACCTTTGCTACGAAGCCCTCCTACCTCAAGCATCTTTTGGTCCGTTTTCCACGATTGATCAGCTTCAGGATCTGGCTTTTCGCTGCTCGAATAATAAAATAAAACTACCATCATTCGACTCGCTCTCAACGTCTTGTTAAAGTGGTCTTTCGTTAGCTTGGCGACTCGCCGAATTCCATCATCTTTAAGATACTGTGGTAGCTTATCTTCTTCTCTTTGGACTTCGTCAAATTCTTCATCTTGACAGTGGACGCTGTGATAGAATAAGCTCAAGTAAAGTATAACAAGGAAGCCCTTCATTGCAAACTGCATAGCGAGAGCTGAACCCCGTGCAACTAAACTTTGTAATAAGTGTCGCTATGTACACCCACTGGGGATCAACCAAATCTTCCCCAGGGATCCCTGGTGATAGAGGCTTCATAGATACTCAAGGTATTTCCGGTCCCAATTACTTAACCCATTATCTCTTATATCATGTGCGACCCGGGATATTCGTAAGCCATAGATAGTGATACACGTGTACCAAAACAAACTGAGCAGTACAGACTCCTAGAACGGCGCACTACCAATCCATTCATTTTTTGCGGCCGCGTAAATAACAGCATGATGGATAAATAACAGAAAAAGCCGTAAAAAATTGTCTCTACGGCGGATCTATGATATGGGAAAAAAAAAAGAAGCCCTTTGCAAGAAAGTTTACTAGTACCCGGAGCCTCCATCCCAATTCTACCCTTGAAACAACCCTGTTCCGTATCTGTTCATTTTCAGAACTGAGATACGTGGGGGGTTTCTTTAATTTCCCGCGAAAACACGTTGACGTTCGCGTAACACCCTAAAAAATGGTAAAAAATGGTATTTCACTATTGAAATACTTTCGTCCGGCCTGCATGTAACGTAAACAATAGAGGACCACAGTCCTGGTCAAAGGTCCTGGTCGAATTCACAAATTTATTCATTAAGATTTATGTATTCATTTATTTACTTTTACTCAGCTAGTATTGCCCGTTATTGGTAGATATAATAAACTTATATTCTCTTGGTTATTGCAAATAATCTGTCCGATACTGACTATTCAGTTGACAAGAAAAATGATGACTCCAAGGAGGAGAACGGGTTAGAGAACGAGGAATGCAAAATAGAGTGGCATTTCATAATAATGAGATCACGGTGCATCACGCTCCCATCACGATCACGGAGAATCACGGGTTGTATGGAATAACGTAGTGAGCCCACGGTTCGTGACGTCATTTAGGCATCAAAGATTGGCAATTTCAACGATGGCGGATAACTCTGGTGTTACAAACAAAGGAAATATCATCAACAAAACCATGTCATGATTCTACTAAACTCGAATAATACCATTTATACGACATGGCTACTTGGTACACGTCTGACACGAGTCCTTCAGGTAATCTGTAAGCGTTAAACATCTGCGAATTGAGGGATTTTTCCGACATGGCTCACACCCAGAGACGTCCATCACTAGCTTAGCTTGGTATAATGGATCATCACTCGTTTTTGTCGCACAACTCGCTATCCGAATCATGAGAGTATTAATCAGACATTTACCTCTATGTTAGTCAGCTCGACTCGCTCTAACGTGATGTTTTTCTGTTTTGATCCAATATTTTAGGGCCAAGTAATGTAGGCTATTATCCGTCTAACAAATATGGTCTCCCGCAATCGCAATACGAAACTTCAAGGTAAGAGAATTTTGCCTCGCAATTTTTTTTCTATTCACCGATCACTTGATAAGGTAGGTGTTTGCCTTCTGAATTTTGAAGTGAAGAGTCCATCTATTGATCGAGTCAAAATATACAGGAATTGTTTATTTAAGCAAAAATGCAGAGACCGGCGCACGATATCCAGTTTCCCAGACGACAGATTGATGAGAGTGTTAATCGTATTTGTTTGTTCTGAGGCGACTAATCTTTTTTCCGGCTTTTAAAGATGTCGTGTGCCTTACGGAAAATTCGTTAAGACTTTAGGCGGATATGGATTATATTGTAGATATGAGGCAGTGTTCGTTTGATGAAAAGTTAAAGCGAATGAGCTTTAATATTGTTAAAAAATTCATGGATTTTGCTTTTTGTAATACTTTCTACTAACAACATCAGTGACCTTAACTAGTATGTTTAAGTAAACCGCTCAAAAGTGTTATAGTACATTCAAGCTGGGTAATGGTGCATTTTGTATGCAGTACTGTAATTTCAAAGAAAAATTTGAATTAAACTTTCACTGAACGCAAGCTATAAAGATTTAGCCAAATATCAAGAGGATGTTCGCGCCGAAACGAATTCTTCTGTTCTTCACTCAGATGTTGTCAAATTTTTAGTCAGGGAATGATCTAGTTACAAAGTTTTTTGAAGGGTAAGTCTGTTTGTTTTGGAGTTGTGTTACAAATTTTCATAGACTGAGCTAATTTTAAAAGCTTAAGTCACTTGATGTGACTTTGTTAATTCGTCGCTGACTCAGCAAAAATATGATGCAATTTATGAGGAATTGTGACAAAAGTGGAAAAAATAAAGATAAATTTTGAAACAAAATAATGAACTTGTGTCAAGATCGTTCTAAACAGAAAGTGATGTGTTTTAAATTTGGCATTGTACTATTAGATAGTACACTGTTACTTATATTTTCATCGCAAATATTCATATTTTGCTAGTCAACCAACCATAAGACTTAAGTGCTTTTGCATTTGTGAAGAGAATCCATAATTGGTATCAGTACTTAGTTAAAGTGCAAGAGTTCAAAAGGTGGAAAATTAGCCTGTAGTCCTGGGCCCAGTTGTTCGAAGGCCGATTAGCGCTAACCCAGAGTTAGATTTTAATCTGGGTTTCTTTATTCCTTTACTCTAAAGCCTTTTTGGGAAAATTTTCAATGTCCTTTTTAAAGCATCAAATAGTCATACTCTAGACAAAAAGAATTTGACTGAATTTCCTTTCAAAGCTTTTAGATCTGAAATCAGATTTCACACTAACCCTGGGTTATCTTAACCCAGCTTTGAACAACCCGGCCCTGTACTTTATTAATATTTATGTTATGATAAAAAAGTCTGGGGCAGACATACTGCAAATAATCATGATCTATTTGAAATTCTTTTTATTCAATTTTCTCCAGTCTTGCACCTTATTCATGAATATTATATTGGTCAATGCTTCTAGTGACTCGGTTCCCTGATGTAACTTAGATCCCTATACATGAAATCAAATTTTATTCTTCACTTGCTTGGATCAATAGAGCTTTGGTGCTGGAAAATGATCTTAAAAAAAGATCTTGATTTTTAAAAAGTAATTCAGTGGAAGAATTCCATTGAGTTTGGATCAATTTTTAAAAAGTAATTCAAAATTCCATTGAGAGCGTCAAGACAAACTTTGTTAAGATGTGTGAAGAGTTTTTCATTTCCATTCAGGGCAAGTACAATTTGTAGTATGTGAAAATACTTAAGTGTTTTTATTTCAATTTGCATGGTAATCTGATACATATTATTTTGATATAGATGAAAAAATTTTAAGATGTTCATGAGCTTAGCATGCAGAATCATAGGGCTCAAATGATTCATTCAAACCCAAGAAATGTCCTTGTGTCTGGTCAAAACGACAGTGTCTAATCAAAATTTCAATTTTCATAATGTTATACACATAACCCTTCAATCCCAAAAAGTGATTAGCATCTGTTATTATTTAATTACAATATCAAACCTGAATTGCACATTCTTGTCACAATATGAAGCAGCTCTTCATTGTTTAACAAATTCTCCTTGTTAGAATTTTAAGTGAGCCTTATAATGTTAAGGTGTAGGGCCATTGAGTTTATAAGGGGCAAAAAAATTCAAAGCTCTGCTAAAGGTTTTGCTACCTTTTCGGGGGACTGTTTTAACTATTTCCTGTACTATATTTTCTCCTCTCTGCCTTCTGTTGCTTGAAAACTGTACTACTTCTAGCCAACCAGAGCAAATCAATTTTTCCATGTACAGCTGTCAATTACCATTGAAAGAGAATTACAAATTCAATAAAAATCAAAAACATATTGGGTAGTAGTCATTAAATTGATCAGACATGAAATTCTCATAACTAAATATACAAGGGAATGGGTAGCAGGTAGAGCAGAGAATTAACAAATAGATCTTGAGAGTTAAAGGGTTGGTACTTCAAACGCTGTATCACTGAGCTTTAGGAGATTTTTGGTGGACTAGATCATTTTTGTAAGTCCATTGTGTCAAACTTCTCACATACTGTTAGGATATGAAATACTTGTGCAATGATGATGTAATGAAGATGGTATATTACTATTGGTCTTATATGCCAGTAAACCAATAGATAGTGCATTTAACCTTTTAACTCCTTGGTGTGATTAAAATGTAACTTCTCTCCATAATATCCTTACATTACACAGCTAACAGGTTATGATAATACTCAAACTCATCAGGTTGTAGTAGTTATCTTGATATAACACCAAATTCTTGTAAGTAATTTACAAGGAAAGGTGTAGCAGCTTGTGGGGAGAATTAAGAATCTGATCTTGGGAGTTAAAAGGTTAACTGCCTCAGTATAAACAAACTATCAATCTCTCCTTTCAGCCACAGCTCTAGAGTGATGAAGTTACCTTTGAGTTTTACCGGAACAACAAAACGAAGTGTTATTATGGAAAAAACTTCACCACAAGACAACAAGGTATGGATTTATTTCTTTGTAATGAAACATAGTTCAAAAACTGCACTTGGCCCTAAAAAATCCTCACAATGTGAGGTCTATAAAGATATGGAGCTTGAAAATTACTTGTACACCTGTAGATATGAATGTATGGAATAGACTTAATTTATATCTTTAAAAGCCATGTTGTTTAAGAGTTCAAACTTTTGTGAAAGAGTAGGTTATACATTTGAGTAAATTAGCTATCAATATTCTCATTTTTAGGTGGTAACCAGTAAAATTCACTGCCTGTTGTACCTCTTGTGACTGCCCAAAATTGCTTAGAATTCTTCAAAATTCTACTGGTTAAAGGATTTTTTTTCAACAAGTTTGAAAATTTCTTTTACCTGTTGTGTTTAAAATGAGTAAGAATACTCAGTGATATCAGAGGTACATATTACTAGAATCATGCTTTTGACAGGCTACTTGTAGCCAAATACATTATGGCAGAGAGAATATCTGATGCAAGTAAAGATGTTTTCTGGTATTTGTTATGTTTTGCTTTTGTTTTGTTGTTTTCTTTTTTGGGTATACTGCATAAAAAGTGCCATAAAGAGAGAGAATGCAACTGAAGTATTTCAAAAAAACTCTTTGATCATTTCTTCTTCCAGGGTGACTTTGTTCATGATGACTCTACTTGGGTAACTGGAACTTACAAGAAAGTCAGGTAAGTCCCAATTTTTTTTTTTTCCTTATTAAGTGTCAACCAGTTATTGCTCAGTACTTATTCTTTGGAGAGTTAAGTGCCGTGTTCCCAGATTTTCAAAGTAGAGAAAGGTTGATACAGAGAGAAAGAAGGGAGGGACTTGTTTTTTTGAGGAAGGAAGTTGTTAGGTTTCTTCGGCTCCTGCCCTTAAACCACCACTTCTTTCCCAAGAAGTAAGAAAGACTGACTTGCCAAAGTTTGGCTGGCTATTCTGCAACCTAATCAATACACCTGTGATACCTTAAGAGTCAGTGATACATTCTGTGAAAAGTGTTCACCTGCTTGTGATTTTACCTTGACACTATGTCCTCACATTTATGCTTGTGAATAAAGGAATAATTTGAATCCTTTATTTATCTTGACTTAATACCCCAGAAACGAGGCCCATTCCAGGCCTGCCCTTCATGTCTTGTTGTTTCACTGCTCAGTGCTGCAGTACCAATGATAGCCTGTTGGTAGGCTACTGTTGTTATACTGACATACCCCAAGATGTACAGAAACAGGATATGATTTGGTTTTATCTACTGCGTTGATATTGTATTCAATTGGCCTGACAAAGGGCTAATGCTCAAAACATCAGCTTTCAAAACTTTTTATGGTGACCAATTTAACCCTTTAACTCTCAGATCAAATTTGTAATTCTCCTTACTGTCAACCATACAATTCTTATAATGTAGGAATTTAGTATTGGATCAATTAATTATCCCCAAATTGATATTTTCTTTATTCTCATCACTTATCTGGTTGATATTGTCTTGATATTGTAAGGAGAAATTCTGTCTTGGTCACTCATGGGAGTTAAAGGGTTAAACTTTCACTCTGATGAAGGGCTGTTACTTGAAACGTTAATTTTAGAAACTCTCTAGGGTGACCAATTACTAAGCGTAGTTCATTTATGGTTTAAAAGGCAACATGGTGGAAACTCTCGTTTTCCAAGAATAGAGGACATGCCACATTTTCATTACGACTTTGTGGACCTTGGTGAGCAAGTGAAGGTGAGTTGAAACATGATATCAATTTTCCTGTGCTTGAGTGTGGAGCTGCTTCATTAGTACATCCATGAACTGTGAAAATTGTTTTCACAATTTTTGCATCATTGGTTGTGTAGTAAATCAGGGCATGGCTTCTCTTGACTTCTAGACCATAGGAGATTTCACCAGCTTAATCAAACTTAGTCAAGTGCAGTGTACTTGTACAAGGACGTGGAGCTTATTTGCAGCAGAGAATTTGAACCAAATTCCCTCACCATGAGTTCCGAGAAAAACGATTCGTGGGAAAGCTTAAAACTCACTACAGTGATATAGCTCTTTTCCTACAGTCGGCTAATTAATCTCATGCAGTTGAAAATTGTTTCTTTTAAAGTAAGAAAGAAAATTAATTCTTCATATCAAGCTTATAAAGCTATCGCTGATAAACTTCATTTTTATTTCGTGATTTCAACGCTGCTCAATTCATATCTTATACGGCCAGTCTCTGGTGTTAGATCCGCTCAAGATATGTCACGATGATGCTCTGTCCACGCAACAACTTTAGCGGAGCTGTATACGTATGATCCAAAAACTATGTAATTTTTATCGTGACGTAAAAAAGTAAAATGAGAATTCACTTCGTTTACTTACCGTCTTTTGCCATTCCAAACGATAGCCCAAACCTCTGTGAAAATTAACTTAAAGTCCGCCGAGTTTTCTGATCGGTCTTTCGTATCAAGTCACCTGATGAAGATGTATGACGTCCAAGAATTCATCTAAAAAGGCAGACGTCAAATCGCGTGGAGCTCAAACAACTCGCACTTTGGCGTTCAGTCTCTGTTTTAGTTAGGTGACGCACTCGGATCGTATGTACGGTTCGAGTGCAGCCATATTGTTAATTAAATTCTGTTAAGTCTCACACAAGCGGCCTTACTATTCATCTGCACGCACTAGGTAGAGCAAAAATTAAGGGCGAATCGAGGACAAATTTCCTGCGATATTAAAGTTTAAGCTTTCACCAGAGTTTAATACTAATGTGATATTGGACATTTAATTATTTTGTACTGTAAAAACAGCTGTCTAACTGATCGGCTGGCCGCGCACAACACTTCTTTATCTGCTTCGCTTTTTCCAATCAATTTTTAAGAAATGCGCATGAAATAAACCAGTTGGATAACAAAAACTTAAATAACTTATTAAACGTTTTGGTGTGTGGTATCGTTGAGTAATTTCACTCATTGTTTTTATTTTTGCTAGCCCTGCAGGCTCGTCAAAATACGGCACAACTGTTAAAAATACTCAGCGATACTACACACCAAAACGCTTAAGACGCTATATAGGTTAGAAACTAATATTTGACATGACAGTGTCTGAAGTCAAACTTTCAAAACGCGTGTCACCAAATTTTCGTGGTTTAGTAACTCTTTGTTCTCTCAAAACTCGGCATGTTTCATAATACCAAGTGCGCTTTTAAAATGGCGGAGATTTAAACTATAGTTTCTGGGGCATATTTGATGTAAGCTAAGAACTCAGAGATATCGTAGTAGTTACATCTATAATGTGTATTTGTAAGGCAATGGGGTAAAACAATTAATTTAACGAACTTGGCTTTTCACTGGTGAAAGCCTAAATTCCAAATTTTTAAACACTTACGAATTCATGGCACATTTTTCATCCTAATAAACCGAGCGCCGAACACTACCGATGCCTCAATGCAACGTGGTGGTCTTTTTTACTTACAGTTACCTCTACAGTCATGTCCTAGTTGTGTTCTTTTTGCCTTTGTTCCCCCGTATTACTTTGGGAGAGGTCTGAAAGCGAAAGAGTGCCTTTCTTTAATGCAATGTTGTGTGTTCTCATTTACCTGGCCCACAGATAGGTCTTTACACAGACAATGGAGGCGAGAAACGATACCATAACGGAACTGCAGAGGAAGGAACACTTCTGGTTAGTAAAGAGACTGTCATGTTCTCATTACTTTGGGGAGAAGGGCTAGAGGTGCCGCTAAAAATATCACCTCAAGGGGGCGTTGTTGTGTTGGCAAAATGACGCTACATGCTGTTTGTCCGAACTAAAGTCGAAGTAGGATCATTTCAACTAAGGCATAATCTTCTTTAAATTTGTTACTGAGCTACCTGTAAATGTAATTACATGAACGAGATTGTCATACCCGTGGTGACCAATAAAATTAATTGATGAGAAGTATAATGATATTATTAGGCTTTTTGATCTTGGAATTACTTAGAAACAGTGCACTACATCATTCTTCAGGGTGGTGATATACTTCATATGGAGTGATTTCCTTTGGAGTGCAGGAATTATTACTTTTCGCCCGTGATTGCGAATATAAGTCACCCTCTGTGCTATGACGCATTTCGATTGAATGTCTTAGTTCGTAAAACCATAACCAAAATAATCGAAAAAGCCAACCATTGCGAGGAAACGTACAAAAAAGCCAATGAGAACGCAAAGTAAAGACAATTCAACTGCTTAAAGCGCGGGAAAACGAGAGTGACGAAGCCACGATTGGTTTTAATTGTGAACCTGATTGGTTGAGAAAATGGCGCGAGTTAATCTGGACCAATCACGGAGAAGAAGTAGAGAGAAGTAACGCAAAGACCAATACAATCTAGATGTCTTTCGACACTCAATTGAAAATCGCCTTCATTCAGATACGAAACTAAAACCAATCACGATTTGGTCACTCGTGTTTTCCCGCGCTTTAAGCAGTTGCTTTTGTTTACTTTCGGTTCCTCATGGGCTTTTTGTAATATTTACTCGGTTTTGTTCTGATTGACCTTATTTGATTTGGTGATTTTAAGTCGAAAACCAGTCTAATTTTCCAACTGGCATTTGAAATACAAGCGCAGTCAGAGCGCTAAGTCTGAGAAAGAAAAATATTATTATGTGGCAGGCGGAGGTTGTTACTTTTGCACTGTAAGGGTTTCATGAAAGGATGGACACGGGGCATGTTGCATGACAATACAGGAAAACTGTCAAAACAGGACCAGACAAAGTCCGTTGTGTTCCATTTCATTGGATTACGTCATAAATTTACCCCCCGCTTTGGGTTTTTCATACTTTATGTAGAAGCAAAATATTTGGAAACACTATTACCCAAACTCTTATTTCTTGTAAGCTCAGAAATTCTCGCCGTCTAGTTAAGATCAAAAGACGGTTTGACTATGTTTTCCTGTCGTTGGTGGTAGAGAAACATGCATCACTGATTTTAATCTCGATGCCTTGTATTTAAGTTTTTGCTGTGATGTTGTAGGTGATATTTGTCTTATTACACTATCGAGACAATGGGCAATTTATCGTAAGGGATTTATTGTTAGAGCTAATAACCAGACGATTTGTTTTGACTTCAAAAGCTTTCATTTCACTCTGAATTCAATATCATTATATCAGCCTGACACACCCTCTCTAATTGAGTTCTCGCGTTGAATGTTGGGTAAAACGGTCTTTAGTTTCCTTTATGTTAGAAATACAAGGTGTATTGTGCTCGTTCTTTGTATTCTCGTGGGAATTTGAAGGAGGAAATTTAACAAGTCTTAAATTCTATAACAGGTTAACGTTATATGCAGAGGAAAGTCGTGGATTTTGACGAGGACAATCGGTAACTTGCGGCTCCTTGATCGCGCACTTCACAGGTAAAATTTTTTGCGGAGCACACATTGTGTAACACCGTAGCTACGCATGATTTACTTAGTTAAATGTCCTTTTACTAAACGTTTTAATTCCTTACTGTGGGAATAATCTCCTCGAACGCACCACGCACACATTGTGACAGGAATACTTTTATATAATTATGTCGACGTAAACATGAGTTTATTCCTCAGACTTCTAACAAGTGGAAAATTGGTTTGTGAAGAATTAAGTTCTTGTATCCAATTTGACCTTTTTTACAACACAGTTGTATATTTATTGCTGAGTTATTGTTATTTTTTTTGTAATTTACGTTTAACAAGTTCAAAGCTGCAAAGTGCGTGTGCATTGAAATAAATCTGGGCGCTTCATGATGGCATGAGTGAATTTTATTTTCACAATTGCATCCTTCCCCTATTCGTAGAGGTTCCGCCAACGGATGGAATATGCACGCTTTCAAGATTTTTCATCAGCCGTCGACAGAATGAAGAAAGTTTCAAATGTTAACCAAACCTTTAGTCTTGAAAGACTATCCAAACGAATGTTTATTTGTAACGAAATTTGGCTGAAAATGACAGTTTGGATGCGGAAAGTTAATCCGCGAAATCAACATGCTTAAGAAGCATTTACTTCGTGTGACAATATCAGTGTTGCTCAGTCAGTCGTAAAAAGCGTGCAATACTGAATTTTTAGTTCGTCGTAGGAAGTACGCTTTGATAAAATTTTTAAGTTAAGGATTTGGTGAGTATTGTACGCCATCAATTCAAAATTGCTTGCTTGGATTTATGGAATCATAAATGGGCTGCAAAACTTTTCCGCGCCTTCGTTTAAGGTAAAATTGTTCCACTTGCTCAGCCATAAAAGTGAGGTATGTATCCACTTGGCAGGAGATCATAGAAATTTGGAAAGTACAGAATTTGGAACAGGCAAATCGGGAGTTGTCTCTTATTTAGTCAATATATAAGGAAATGAGTGGGCCAATTTAATTTGAGTTGTGTTTAATGTGTGCACGAAATACTGAATTTCCTATGTTAACACCCCTCTACAACAAGTGTTTTTTCCGTCATCGAAATTTTAAAACTCGATGATATGCATGTTATTTCCTCTGTGTTTGTCGTTGTAAATTGGTTGCTATTTTCATTTCGAGTGTTTTCTGCGCTTGACACCGGTGGCATGTCTTTTCTTTTTCCTGTGATTGGTCAGTTAAGCTGACCGCTGCTTGTGATTGGTCATGAGTCGTGGCGAACACTGGTGAACGTGTAAGCACAACTGGCTGATCAAACTGTTTTTCGTTTGCAAAATGTGTGACGAAGTCTGATTTTGCGCACTCGAGAGCATATCCGCGTTTTTTTTTTGCCGTTTTACTGTTTCACTCAGGTTTTTTAAATACTCCATAATGGAATGATAGGACCTTCCTATGGTATGAAATGGCTTGTGATTTGAAAATACACGGGTTAAATTGGTTGATCAGCAAAGTGCTTGGTTGGTCAGCAAAGTGCGATTATCCACCTCGTAAGAGCTGTCTGCTTGACTTTAATTTCCGTCGACTGTTTTAGATAGTTTTTGGTCAGTATATTCTTATATTAGGGCTTATTGTTGTTGTTGTTATCATCATTATTATTATTAGTGTTGTTGTGGATATTATCATTATACTTTAAATTTTGTTTATGTTTTTTAGGTGCCTATTTGACAGAAGTCATAGCAAATTAAAATCTCTCGCACGCCTTCCCGACAGTGAAAAATATTGCAGGAGCGAAGTAAGTTACTCTCAGAAAAAAAAGACGCTTCTCTCGTGTTCTTTTCTTACGCCTTTTCCGAGATTCCTACGTTTTTCATTTATAGCAGAGCTCACAGAGCGTAGCCCCATCATTATACAAAATAGTAGTAAACCATCAAGCCGAAAAAATTTTGATGTACGACCGCACGACCGTACAAGGTGCTACTTTTAACATGCGTGGTCAACTGTACCGCGGGCACGCCAACGCCACGGCTTTGTCCAGTAGTCCAGTGGTCAGTGCACTGGGCTCCGAGTCGGACGACCCGGGTTCTAGTCCTGGCTGGGGCAAGGCGTTGTGCCCTTGAGACGTGCGGGAAAAAAAAAATGCGAGCTCCGCTTTTGGGCTTGGCTAAATCTTTATATTAGTAACTTGAGGGTTGGCGTGTATCTTAAGTTGAAAGCTCACTCGCGAGTGACCGTAATAGGCACATACCGGCAAATTTATAACTGAGTCATCTGAAATGATTTTTGGCTCAAAGGAGGCTTTTACGGAAAGATGCTATTTGTCTCCGCCTTGAAAGAAAGGAAAACTTGTGACCCTTGATCCGTATCGAGTTCTGGTTTACCGTTTGAGAGCTCCATCAACGGAGCAACAGACTGGTACGAGCTTAGAATCCTGCATCCAGCCAAGATCAGCGTAGTCGAAAGTTTCTTGTGAACCCGGAGAGAGTAGGGATTCTGGTACTTTTAAACAAGGTTATTTAACACTTGTCGTGACCGCATCATCAATCACGTTGTTTTTACAGGAATGTTTTCAGGTGGTACAGGCTTACCTGGCCAGAGTATCCGAGCTTGCTGATGATGCTATGAACTGTAGTGCAGTCTTGAACTGGCTCGAGGTGAGTTGTCGAAAGAAAGCTTATATGTATATGTTCTATTCTTGTAATTACTGCACAAGTGAAGGCACGCTTTTTGGAACTAGCCAATTGCTTGTTCAACCAGAAAACTGTGATTTTTTAAGATTTCTGCATTTTTAAGAGAGCTCGCTCCCATTTGATTCCAAATTTCTTCACTTCAATGTCTCTCGATTTTTACTAATTAGAGCTTGGTTCTCAAAAAATTTCCATAACGAAAATGACAAGACAAATTCTGGGAATTTTTCCGGCCCCGGCTTTCATAGTGTGACAAACTTATCATGTCCATGACTTCATTTCTAACTTGTCAGCTCGATAACCATGGAAACCACACGTTACTGACAGACGAATCACCAATCAACGTTCCAGGAATAGCAGCTGCTCACGTGGTCAAACGATACACCGCGCAAGCCGTGGACGAACTTTCTCTTGAGGTAAGTTGAAGACCACAAAGAGGAAGTGATATACCCTGGAAAGTCACCAGTAAACAATGAGACGCTTGGGTGGAGAAAGGAATCGAGGGGTGCTAGTATAGTATTTTGAAAATGAAAGATGAAATAGGGAAACCGGATCCGCTCGCAGAACCTCAATCCCGGTTTTTACAAGTAAACAGCAATTCCATAGACCATTTCATAATGCTGCCTATGATTATTATTATTATTTTATGTGCATTCAATTGATCCCGCTTGGCCTCGCTTCTGAGTGGTAATTCTGCTGTTTTGAAAGATGTTTTGAAGGCCAGATTAGGTGACTGTCGGATCTACCCACCTGAGTATATTTCGTGGTCAGACACTCTACAATTGATCTTTGGAGGTCTTGCTGTTGAGCTATGAGATCCTAGCAGTGTACAGAACACATGCCTAAGTTTATGGCCAGGCTCTACATCTAGTTCTCTCTACTTCAGTGGAAGAGCATCGGTCTGTGAATTCCGAAGATCTGAGGTTCAAAACATCGTGGGTGCACTCAGCTATTTTAGCTTATCTTACACTTGTGCCCGACGAATAGCTTCTTCCTTCAACCTCTTTTTTTCTTTTCGTATGACCTCGTAGACAATGACTTGGTTTTGTTTTTCCTTTGAAGGATTAGTAGGAGACCATAGCGTGATCGCGTGACCAAACTTGATTTAAAATGCAAAGTGTGCAAACAGCTTTGTTAGACAGTTGGAAGCATTGAAATACCTTTATCAAGACTGTCATTTTAGGAATTTTGGAATGTTAATTGATTTTTGCATCTTACACTGTAAGCTATTCAAAACTACTTTCAACTCAAACCAAATGGCTTGATGTAGAGGTTGAAGTGTGGAAGTCATCCTTTATCTTGTGTCGTAATCAGTGTGAAACTGGTCATCGGTCGCAGTTTAGTTAAGTTAAATTGAATTTTTTTTTACATCTTCTTTTGGCCCATTTTTCCTGTGTAACTTGCGTGGCTTTGCAAAAAATATGTTAAAATAATTGTGAAATCATTGCACGTTGTGCTCTTAAGCATCTCTAATGAGATTTTCAAGTTCGTTTAGTTAAACTCTTCGTGTTTCATGCTATAGTGATTTTGAAGGGTTGCTCGGTTTACCTCCTTTACCCACTTACATGACTTAAAGTGTTCTTTGTTTACCTACTGTTTTTTTTTGTTTGTCTTATTATTTCTCCTATTTATTTAGATTCAACTCGTTTATTATTTCAGAGTTATTTCATTTTCTCTGATTATGGTTATTATTTTTGGTTTTGTGTGGAAAATTCTAATTAAATAGCCCTTTGCATCAGAAAATTTCAACGACACTCGCGAAAGAGTAAGATCGCTCGTAGGACGTCAAACATGCACATCAAACTTGGCGTGCATTTTAATTGAGTGTCGCAATAATAGAAAACTGGTATGATTAAAACAGGCACTCAGAACGAAAGAAAATAATACAAGGAACTGGTGAAACCTCCAAAGTGACACATTTAACCTTTCCTATATGCGAGAGAGCGCGTTGTTGTCGCGTCTGATTCTGGTTTCCATCCAATAAGTTGAGAGTTTGCGCGAGTTTTCTAGACCAATCACAGTGCCAAGAAAGCGAAACGATTGCAATCTCGGATAAATTTCGACTCTAAATTGAAAAGCGGTACCATTTTTTCTGCTATGTACAGTCTACAGGTAACTGTTGTTAATCCAAGAAACACTTTCTTGAAAAATTTGATTTTAAAAAATGGATAAAGTCTATGGGCTTATGTTGCGCATGACTTCATTTAAAAAAAAATCGAAACTGTTTGCATGCATCTTCTGCTAAGATGACGTCATGCAAACGGCTTTTGTTTTGTGTTGTGATCAAGAGTACTTGTGGATAAATGGCAAGACTGATAACTGCTTGTAATAATTCAATTGCCATGATGTTCCTGACTTTAGACATTTCTTAGCCGTGCACTGAAGCATCTATATATTTTTTCGGCTATGAAATAGAATGAAGATTTTTTCGATCACTGATACTGTGGTGACGGCGGGCCTTTAGTAGTTTTGCAATTACCATGTAAGCGATTCATATAGCCTGAAGCGGCCCCTTATGACGTGGGAATCAATCCATTCTGCTCCTCATAGCGTATCCGCTTTGTTTTCCTTCACAAAGAAATGCAGAAATCCACTGATATTGTGGACTGTATGTCCGCCGAAGGTACTTTCTAACAATGCTCGCCAGGTTTCATTTTCATTTTACTGTGTTTTGTACGTAGATACTTTTAAGTGTGATTTTTCGCTATCGGTACTACTTTAGGTTGGAGGGATCATCTCTGTGATTGATATGCCCCCTGTTGATGAAAGTTTGTGGTGGAGAGGAAAACAAGGATTCGAGGTAATTATAAGCTGAATTTTATTTCCTTCAGAGGCTACGAAACTGTGCCGATGAACTAGCGTTCATGAGTGGTACATTGTATCCAAGTACGTTACACGTCAAAGTAGATTGTTGAGAATTTTAAAAGAACTATAAGACTTTCCACGTCGGTACTGTGGCTTTGTTTACAAAGTGCGATAATGCTCTGTGCTTAAACTGTGGGTAAATATTTACCGTTACCACTTTTATTCATTGTTGAAGGCAAATAAGAGAAACTGATGTAGTGAGGGTTTACCACGTGCCTTGTTTAAATGCAATTTACTTTTTGTTTATTGCTTAAGATGTTAGAGCGTAGCAAACAATTGAAGGAGTTAGTTTGAATATTGTTAACTGATCTCATTCTTAGATGCCAATATATGAGTTGATCGCTAAAAAGATTTCAAACCCGTTTTTCTCCCATCAATCTAGTTCGAATGAGTCAGAGTTCCTGTTATTACTTAAACTGAACCCTGTTCAGTATAGTCTGTGTTGCCCCAACATAAGTAGTTAATAATAACTGACTGCTCAAAGCTTCATACGGTTTCGTTCTGCATCAGCGAGAAAAATTTTGTTTTTAAAGTAGATGGGTTGAAATTTATTTGAGACGAAATCTATTGTTGCCACTTCCCTATTATTGCCGCTATCATTCTATTGGTCTAAGGAAACATCTACTCCTGGAAAAAAGACTTCTTTCTTAAGCGAATGATGAAGGGCTAAAGAAACTCTTAACGGTGGCCAATTTACGTTAGCAACTCAGTTGATTACACTTAATTACTCTTGAATTTTACCTGAGGATATTATATAACTTCTCCATACTTATTTACAGAGAGGGTGTAAAGACAACTCTCTTATGACCTAGATGTCGATCATTCTAACAAACCCTCATGGTAATTTTTAGGTAGGATTTTTTCCAAGTCAGTGCGTTGAAGTAATCAGTGACAAAACGGACGGAAATACCCCCCTGCCAGGTCACGCGGCCCCCTCAAATATGACACCAGGTTTGTGTATTCATCGGTGTAACTTTACTTTTTTTTAAGATTGCTCGAGACACTATTTTTAAAATCCCAGTTAGTTGATCGGTCGGTTGGTTAGTCAGTCAGTTGGTCGGTTGGACAGTCAGTCGGTCAGTTAATTACTTAGCCAGAAAATTCATGAAAAGACTGATTGGTGGTTGGACAGTCAGTTAGTCAGTTAGCCAGTAGTTTCATGAAAAGACTGATCGGTCGGTCGGTCGGTCGGTCAGTCGGTCGGTCAGTCAGTCAGGTGGTCATGCCTGAAATATTTTGATGCTAGAAGTATGGAAATGCACTCTCTCTCTTTCGCGCGTATTTTTTCATTGAGTTAATTATTTGTCTTTTGTTTTATTTCTAAAGTTGCAAAGAAGCGAGGCAAAATTGTGTCTTTCTTGAGACTGTTCCTATCTTCCCGCCCATCAAAGGCGAGGCTTTTGCAGAGTGGTATTCTAAAGTGAGTAGTCAAATATTTTATTTCATACGCTGCCCAGCTTGAATTTTTCCAAGGCTACGCGAGATTTCTGTTAAAAAAGTTTGACCTTTGGTGGCAAAGGGTAACTTGAGTTTGTCCTCCTTTTGCTTTCAGGGAACGGACATTTGGTTGCGACTTGGGCGAGCATTTAGTGAAAACCAACCAGCAAGGTGCGATAATATTTAGGAGACGATCCATGGAACTTGAACGTCTGCATTCTCGTCTAAAATGTTTTAATAAAACTCCTTCTCCTTTCAGTTCCTCTGGTATTGGTAAAATGTGCCGAGGTGATCGAGAAAAATGGCATCGTAGATGGGATTTATCGTCTCTCCGGCATGTCATCCAACATTCAGAAACTCAGGTAGCACTTTTTCACTTTCAAACTATTACTTTGGCTTGGCGTGCACTTGCTGTCCATTTGGTTCCTCAACAGCGCGAATTTAAAGGCAAATTTGCAAATTTGTGAATATAATTCTCTTTTCAGATTGGCATTTGATGGGGAAGAACCACCTGATCTTTTGAAAGACTGTTACATCCGGGACATACATTGCATAAGCTCTTTGCTCAAGATGTACTTTAGGTAAGAACTCTTGAAGGATCCCTTTTAACCTGTGTTGAGACCCGTTTCACCCCTCTTAGCGACAACTTTGTCTTCTTGTGTTCATGTTAAGAAATCCGGCCCATATAGTTTTTTCAAACTTGTTACTCGCAATCCGTGTTTTAAATCTTTTTGCATCTATAGCTGTCCTCTTTTCTTTTGTATTTAGTCCCTCCTTTAAAGAATTTTGCTTTATTTACTTGGTTTGTGTAGGTGTATGTGTTTTTATGCGTCGTGTTGTTTTGTTTGTTTTGCTTCGTGGCTTCCTCCACTTTGACGACAGTTTTTCACGGTGTCGAAATAGGTCTTTTGAAAATTGGAACGAACTGAAATCGTTGGGAGCATGGGCCTGAGAGTCGCAACAAAAGTCGCTTTACTTGTCAAGTAGACGACATACAATATCGAAAAACTTCTGTCTTGTTCTTTAATTTCCTCAGAGAGCTACCTAATCCGTTGCTGACTTATCATCTCTACGACAAGTTTGTGGTAGGCTCAAGCTCATTGTCGTACGTCTTTTTCCCTATTAATTAAGTTTTTTAAATTTATTTTAAATTTCATTGATCATCGTTATCATTATCATTTTTATCATCATCACCATCATCATCGTTATCATTATTATTATTAGTACCTAGTTTAATTATAATGGCGTTTTGAACACAAAGGGAGACAAAATAAGTGTTAGATTCCATAGACGGAAATGTGGTCGAAACAATAACAAAAGTAACAAACTAAACGAAACGAAATGATGAATTTTGGTAATTGAGTATTTGTTCGACCGTTGATTGTTGCCTTACAAATTATTGCATACACCCACAATCCCGTAATAATAGAATATCCGAGTTGCAGATTACTATTTCTAGTTGCAGTATGTTCCTCCAATTAGCAATCTTGTTGCTCCTGAGTGGAATCGAGTAGTCGCCTAATCAATGCCTCAAAGTCAGCGTTCTCTTCCGTGCTTCAATTTCTTGTTCAATAGGGACCTTCCAGGGGTACTGTTGGTGTGGCTGCTTTGATTTCACAATTAGCATCTTCTTTGCCATCGTAGTGTTGGGACAACGACAGACATGACCGATTATTTAAGATATTGACTCCTGGTCACTACTGTCTTAACAGTGTTCTGTAATCTATGCTTTTCAGACCGCCATTCATATTTCTGATGAACTGCAACGTCAGATTGCTGTCCATCACGTAGTTCAGCAACTTCCCCCTCCCCACTACAGAACACTGGAATACTTGTTACGCCACTTGTCACATGTCGCCTCGTTTTCGCCCCAGACTGGCATGCATGCGAAGAACCTGGCGATAGTGTGGTCACCAAACCTCCTCCGACCCATGTCGCTTGACAGCGGAGGTGCGGCCCTTCTGCAAGTTAATGTTCAAGCTGTTATTGTCGAGTATCTTATTAAGAATGTTCACGTGTTTTTTGACGAGAAGGCGGCTGCCGCCGCCATCGTGGCAAATCCGCGATATTCTTCGGGTTCTTGGGAAAGACAACAAAAGATCGTCGCTGATTCAGGTAAAGATGTTTGTCGCGTTAAATTGCTTGATTTATCGTGTGAATGGTACGTTCGATATACATGGCAACTTGTTTTAACTTTTTCTAATGATATTTTGTACTACACTCTCATTTAAGAGATTCGAGATGACGGAATGTCCTATATAAAATTACTCAGTACTACACTTGTGAAAATCTTCTTGGAAACGTCTCGCATGAGCTCAGTAGCCTTCATGAGATCTTTTCTTTCTGTTATAAATACATATTTGTATTTATAACATGCCTTGCCCCACCTTTTTTTTAACCGTTTACAGCTTTGAAAATCATCAAAATATACTCTGCAAAAAATGGCCTCGCGGGAAGTGTCTTTATCGATCACCGCCATCTTCTCTTAGTAACAGACTTGTGGTGGTTGCATTGAAGTGCTGGGCCTTACGCAGTCTGCTTCAGTCAATAATATGGAGAAAACTCATTAAGTAACCGTCAGGTATTCATTCATTTCAGATATCGCTGGCGCTCCTTCCCTTGGTCCACGGATGGCTTCGCTGTCTATTTCCCCTCCTACGAAACTAATATCACTGGAAGAAGCCCGGGCACGTGCTCAGACCACGCCTTCTAGACCCTCAGGGAGGCTCATTCGAGCCAAGTCGGTAGAGGAGCCTCAGCGGGTCGAGACCCCTGTGTACAGGACGTCAGTGGAGGTTCCCGCAAGACGGAAAACAAGTGAAGGATCCATGAGTGGACGTAAATGGAAGACCTTTTTCAGTCACAAAGGGAAGAATTTAGAGGCTCCGTCATCAGTGGCCAAAGTCCAGGAAACGAGCCAAGGGACATATTTTACCGTCATGCGTGAGCCCCGACCTCAGCGCGAGGTAGGTGTCGAAGTGCGCCAAGCACAGAGCGCAGAGAACGTCAATGAGGTCTATGTTGACTCACAACTGCGGCCTGCTCGGGCCAGACATGTACGCAGTGATGTAAATCATACTGCGAGGGAGATAACAACTCCCGTGCACCAACCGGTTACTATATCATTCACTCGTCAACCGGCGCGACAACGCGCACAAACCTCAAGCGAGATGAACGTTACAAGACACCATCCGGTATTGACAAAGTTCAAACGTGTGTCATCTGATCAAACTGTCTTTTATACAAAAGTCGAATATCACCCCGTGCGGACCAATCATCGAAGGGCATCTACGGGTGGCGACGAGCTCGAGCTCTCCACCTTACGGAGACGAGAAATACAACCCTCCGAGCATTCTCGGCCCATATCCCATTACGAGAATCGTCCGAGGTCGATTTACGATAATGAACCGACCCCTCAGCGATATTCCTCGCCGGTCTTCTCACAGAATTGCCACACGATAACCGAAGAACAACATCGCTACTCGACGCCAGCAAACATGGGCACCCCTCCCATGAAGAAATCATCCAGACGTAGGCTGTCAGATCAGCAGATTGCTATCACGGGAGCAAGGCTTGCCCATGCGTCTGTTGTACCGTGCTCCAACAGCGGTAGGCCAATGCATTAACAGAGACTGTTGAAAGGCGCGAACTGCGGTTCACTGTCTTGCGGAATCGTGGTCGTTCACCGATTATTTTTAAACGAGTATTTGTTTTAGAATACTCTTGGCTTCATGCTGTTTACAAAAGGCAGCGTTATCTCTGTCGGGAAAATTCCTGGAACCTTAAACCTTTTTAGTTGACCGTTAAAGAGTTGTAGATTTCGGCGCAATTTTTCCTAATCATCAGCTTTACTTTCTCTAAAAACGAGGTAAACTAAAAAAAATGACTCCTTCGTGGACAACGCCTTTGTCTTCACTTGATGCAAACCATGTCAGGTTTTCGTCACGAATGAGACCCAAGTTAAATACAATCCAGGCAATTTTCCTCGACGTTTACACTTAGCACATTTTGAACTATTGGCCGAAGCAAATTAGCAGTGCCCTACGATAACTTGGAGTTAGTTTCAGCTGATTTGGAAGCAACTGAACCTGTAAACCCAAGAAAGAAACAAAAGGCACGAAATAGAAAACCATTTCAATCTGATATTTTTTATTTATGTGAGAAGATATTTTGACGTCTAAAGAAGATAAAGTGTTTTAATATAATTCGGAAGTGTTAATATTTGAAGAGTTGATAACAGTATTATTTTGAGCTTCCTTGTTGAATATTTCTCTAACCTTATTTTTGTCCTTCTTCTTTGGACTACCTCATTATTTAATTAAAACCTTATTGACAGGGATCCATGTTCAAAAAGAGCTTTAGATTTTCATTCATCAATGCTGTATAATACTCTTTAAGAATGTTCACCCCGCAAAGTTTTAACATGATGTTACATTTTCTTCTCAAATCTTGTAAATTAGCGAAATGAGCTGATAAATAAAACACCGATAAGAAGGGAATCAACAGAGAGTGAATTTGTATTCTGTACAGGTTAACGAAACTCCGTTTGATTTTTACCAGCCTCATTTCAAAATACAGCAAGCAAACGACTGATAATACAATAAACGCACTGACCCTTATGCATACTCTTTGTAAATATGTATGCGACACAAAACGCTCTCTAAGCTTGAATTAAATTTTAAACGAATACTTATCGTAGTGGAAGTAAGGTTTGAAAAATGGGAAAAACCACTCAGTTTCAGCTGAGGGGTATTTGGTCACGTGATCAAACGCGCGCGGAGGATATCTCGAACTAAGGGCATAAATAAAGCATTTAAAAATGGCTAGAACCCAAAAGAGAGTAACAACTAAGTAAACAAAATGCAAACAAACAATTACTTGCTTAATATATTGAACATGACTGGATGAAATCAATATACCACAATGACACTTTTTTTAGACATTTTTGTCTTAATCAGGGTAAAGAAATGAAAGGGTTTTTGCATTTTTAAACCTGATTGACAAACACGCACTTTTCTGCCATGATACGATGTTAGCTCAAATTAGGGCGAGAATCTTGAGGGGGTATCAATGAAAGAAATTCACATTTTTTTTTTCAAAATGTCAGTGTTTCATTTACTAAACTATAGTTCTTGAAAATCCCCTTTGGAATATGAGATGACCCAAATTTAATCCATTACTGACACCCTAATATCACTATGCATATTCTCCATACTGTTATCTGTACATTTACTATGGTACTGACAGGGAGAATTTGTTTAATAACCAAGACTAGAGTGATTTTAGTGCATGATCATTTTGTTCTTTCATTTTTTATTTGATTCCCAAGTTAAACGGTAAGGAGAAATCAGATGCCAGTCACTTTAACCCGTTATTCCTGCTCTTTTCATTTGCATTTGAATAACATTCCTATCTCGTTACACTTTTTTCTGTCACTTTACTTGTCTCATCACTCTTCAGGCAGCAGTTGTATTGTAAAAAACAGAACTTAGTTATCTTGAACAAGAATTGAAACTTAATTTTGAGGACAATTTTTCCATCTGAGGGCTACACCCTCCTCTGCATCAGCTGGCCAGGAGGGTTTTAATCAACACATGGAGCCCCTGGTGGGGGGGGGGGGGGGAAGGGGGGGGATTTATTGATGAAAATATATGATAATCCCATATCTTGCACACACATTGCACACCATGATGTGGTACACAATTTTAATATAGAACACTGAAGAAACAATCAAAATTAAAGGAGCACAGTTGAGTTGCTTCAATGATGTTGTGAGTAATATTGCATTAAGTCTGTGAGATTTTCATTAATATACACATCACCTCCAGGAAATGATAATTAAAAGAATTAAAATTTTTTATACTAGAACACTAGCCTGCATTATTCATGTGAAGAGTGCGAGACAACTCATCCATGAGACAAATTTTCCTGGACATAACTTCCTTCCACTCTTGTTATAATTTGCTTCACATGCAAATGAATGTTCAAGTTGATTTACATTGGCTACATGACTGGGTGGGGTTAAGTTTGGTCTGTAACCATCAAAGTGACTTAAAAAAATTGGACAGCCACAAAGTGCGAGTTTGATGTGCAGGGACTGCACTAATTGGTCTAATTGGCCCTAACTGGTCAATCATAGGTAAGATTACAAAGCAAATTGCAGAATGAGTGAAGTTCTATTACAATCAATTATAACAGTTACTATAATTTCCTGATTTTAGAGGAAAAAATGTATGAAACTTATTTGAAGGAAAGCCAGTAAGTCTAATTTGTAAACCCACAACTGTGGATTTTCTATATAAGTTCTAACTGCAGAAATGTCTCTAGTAGAGACACTGTCTAATCTACTAAATCCATCCATCCAAGTTTTGGATACTAAGTTGTTGTTTCTGTCTGTTTACTTTAATCAATTACCTGAATCCCATTTGAGAGTATCTGGTATGATTGGCTGATGGAACTGTCCAATAAAAGGTGTCTGCATCCAACTTTAACCATTTCACTCCTGTGATCTCATTAGAAATTCTTCTCACTGTCAGCTATACAATACTTATGTTACTTTGGAGAATTTGGTATTGGATCAACACATAGTCCCTTAATTTATATTATTTATTCTCATCACTTGCCTGATTGATAATGTATTGTTATTGTAAGGAGAAATTCTGTCTTGGTCACTTGTGGGAGTTTAAGGGTTAACCCCTTAATTCTTAAAAGGGATTCACATATAACTTCTCCCCATAATATCCATACATTATCCAGTGAAGAGAGGTAATGAGAATACTTTACTTATCAGGTACAAGTTGTTATCTTGATCTAACACCAAATTCCTGTGACTAATTTACAAGGAAATGAGTAGCACCTAAAAAGGAGAATTAACAATCAGATCTTGAGAGTTAAAGGGTTAAAAAATAATAAGTGCAAATGAGGTGGTTTTTAAACAGCAATCACACTGCTATAGAAACTGGTTCAACCTTACATGATGCAGCCAACTAAGATTGTGGGAAAGACTTTCCTGAAAAGCACAGCATTTTCAACGTAACCCTTCTGAGGACGCGGGGGTTGGGGGCATTTTATCCTGTCTATGACATCATTGGACGTAACTCTATGGTATTCCCTGCCTCTGTTTTCTTTGAAGCAATAGCTGGTGACACTTGTCTTGATCCACTTGGGTAAGATCGAACAGATCCCGTTAAAACACCAGCATGTCTCGGGAATAGTTTCTTGAGCTGCTCCTCGACAATTGCAAGCTGTTCCTCGGGATCTTTGTCCTTGTACGTCTCAAACAAACCATCGATCAGGTCTTGCGCTTGTTGTTCTGCGAGAGGTTTTACTTTTTCGTTGAAAAGGGCCACAGCTTTGTCGGCTTCGTATTCCTCATAAGCGTATTTGCCCAGTAGTTTTGGATCAATTGGCAAGCACAAGCGGTAGATCGTGACGAAGATTGTGGAAAGAATAACTATACCTAGTACTAAACCCCATGCGATCAACTGTGACGTCGTTTTTGCTTGAGTAAATTCCTTCTTCACGGCTTCTCTCTGCGCAGTTGTGTTTGCCATAGCAAGTGCCGCTTTAAGAGGGCCAAGTTTAGCACAAACGTAATAGTCCTGTTCGACAAAAGCGTACATCAACCAAATAAGAGGAGGCAAACAGGCCACGAACACGCTATTTTTCGCCTTCATCAACAACAATTTCTTTCCGCGACATCTCAGGAGACAACAGCCGGTGACAGCTTGCCAAAAAGGAGGAGAAGCCAGCAGCGAAAGACAGAAGAGGAAAATAGACGGGCCGAAGATGAAGAGACTGCCGTAAACTTGAAAATGTTCTTCCGGACAAGAAAAGATGATGTCGTTAAGAAATTCTTTCACGCCGTACAACAGCAATGTGGCCACGATGGTCTTAATTGGAACTTCGTTCGATTGCACGGCTATTTTGAACGCAGTTGCAATGGTTGTAAAAAAACTAGCAGCAGCTCCAGACATGTTAAAATCGTACTTGAAGAAAAATGTCTTTCGGTTTTGTTCAATCAAAGTACTCACTGTTTACATTGCATTCAATATGAATAATTGCGTTACATTTGGTCGCCTACGTTGTGTACAGGGCACAAAATATGACGTAAAAGAAAGCGTAAAAAGAACAATGAAATTGTTCCCTACAGATTTTGAAGGTTTTGATATTTGTGAGTTTTGCCATTACTCTTCATTCGTAGAAATAACTTTCCCATTGAAGAAAAAAAAGTCCTCTGTAAACTCACGCCGCGAAAAAACTGACTTCCCTCAGTATGATGTTGGACATTGCACGGCTCTAAGTTTTTTTTTTTATAGTTTTAACGAGTTTTCTCTACCAAATAGGGTGTGCTGTAACTCAACTGAATGTAACAGGTGGATCTTAAAAGATTTGTTGCTCAAACATAGCATCGCAAAAATCAGTTTTCAACACTGGAAAAATTCTGCAAAAATGCCAGCGTCGGGGAAATTCCGCAAAAAATTGCACGCGCAAAGTTCAAAATAGAACTTCCGCTGAATTGTTATTGCTTCTAGCTATAATCATTCAAACGACAAATTCGATAAAAGAGCTCACTCCTGAAACCATTTTGTTTCTAAGATGGAGACCAGAAGTGTTAAAGTAGACATCCATTCTACCGGCTTCCCAGGGAACTAGTGGCTCTGGGGCCAAGGATGGAACTAAACACGGGTAGACGCTCGCATGATGAAAACTGACGATAGTCTCAATTTTTTAACGAGAAAAGTGAAAGAGAATTCTATCAACATTTGCCAGCTCGTATGCTTTCTCCATTTAAATAGTATACACATCCGATAAGATATTGACCACGCGAATATGGAGTAGTATTATCACAGGTTAAGCGTAAATCAGGAAGTCTATAAAGCCTGGCTTACAACGCTCGAATACTCAAACCAGTTTTTCTTTTGGCCCTTACAGATGAGAACATCTGGGTCTTTGAATACCGCAACAGAGTAAGCCTCATCACCTCACGAAAAGTTGACAATTCACCAATACCATAACATGTTTTTTATACGCCCGCACAACTGAATGTGTTGAGGATAGAGTCGAATCACCGGCCTTGTTGATCATCTAGGTCGAATGCAATAGGGCCTCGACTGCTCCGGCACAAATCTCATGTTTCTTAATCAATAAATCGATACCAACGTATACGTTAGGATTTGTTGTCCTCACAACACTACAATATGAAACTTTTTCACCGGAAAAAAGGTAAAAACCGCAACGCCGCAAATTCCAATATCCCCTTCAACTGGTGTCCTCTTGTGACGTGAGAAGGAAGGAAATAATGCTCTGACGTATTACAGGAGAAAAGAAATAATATCAGAAATTTGTATCATTGTTTAATGATACGTAATTGGAAACATATATTTTGCAGGAAGGAAAAACATACCATTTATTCACCCTCATCACAAGTTTAATTTTCTCTGCTTAGAGTATAGTTGTATGACTATGAGCCCATAAAAGGGAAGGACAAACATAACTTGAAATATTACCCATGACTTAAATAAATTCAGTTTTCAGGTCATTCTAATATTGATTTGCACTATTCACTGGTAAGATGTCGGAGTGGAAATTAAGGATGTGGTAAACAAAACACCATCTGGCTGGTCCTAGACGTGACTCTATACCATTCGGATACGCCATCGGAAACGCATCTTTTGCAGAAAATAACTCATTCATTTACCATCATCATAAGTATAATTTTTCTGTACTGAGATTATACCTGCCCATCAATTTAATGTGCCAAAGGGAGTTTCAAATTTTTTTTCAGTTTTCACGTCCTGTAAGAATTTGTCTACCTCAGCGAAACGAAAAAAAAATATTTAGTTTTGCATGAGTGTCGTTAGCAACAGCAGACCTTTTAACCTGGTGATGATCTGAGTGATGGTGAAATTGAAGATAACAGTAATGAAATCAGAGAAATTGTTCAATTTACGCCAAAATCCAAAAAGGATGTACTATACGATATCATCCAAAGCTGATGAGTTCGCTTTGTCAGTTCAGAACTGAAACTCAGGTTGAAAAAAAATTGTCCACAAGTGTAAACAAGCTATAATCTCTAAGAAACAAAAACAAAAAAAAAAAAAACGACGACGGTGCCAATAAGAGCGCTTGTTTGAAAAGTGGTTCAACGCCTTATTTGATATGGGAAAGAAAGCTTTAAACTTATAAATATTTTGTTACTACCCTTTCCTAATCATAACTCTCTTAGCAAATTTTATCTAATGACAACCCACATTCGGTTGAGTTTGACGCCGAAAATCTGCGGTCGCACGGCGCATTGTAAACAATAGCGCGATGTTCCTCTCATTTTGCATTCAAGGAAGATGTAACTGAGGTAAACCAATCCATTTTAGGATGTCAATTGGACTCACACTTTTATAAACCACACCTCTACCAATGCTCCGAGGTTATCTGCCTCTGACTCACTTTGATAAGGAGAGATTACCTGTGCACGCAACATAATACTTACCATCGTGCATGCAGCAAATCCCTACTGTGTTCACCCATGCCGTGTTCACCTGCAGTAGAACCAATATGTCTAAGACCAAATAGCGTGGTATTCAAGTGTCTCCCACGTCTTTTGAATGGAAACTGTGTTTTAAAAACCAGGAGACATACTTGGAGAGTCTGTTACAGTTCACCTAGTTTATAAACAGAGTGTCTTGGAATTTGTGCGGGATTAGCTGCTTACTTGCATATATTAGGCTACATTTTACTCGAGTTTACCTATTCCTAGCCTCCTCATATAGGAAACTTTACTGGAACTCTGTCTGACTATCAAAATGTGAGTATGGTTTAATAGGTTGATGACGAATCACAGTCATGCAATATGTGCTAGAGGTAATAACGTAATTCTCCAGATTCTGCCTAAAATCTTCAAATAAGGGTTGATCTCTGTAAACTAAAGGAGCTTCCTCTCGGATTGTGTCTATATAGTCTCTCCAATATGTGCTTATGTCCACTAAAGACTTTGGGTATGAGCGGTGTGTGGGATTACCCGCTGTAACAGCCACAAACATCAATGCCTGGCCTCGAAATATCAGTTCCACAGCAGACCAGATGTATCTATGCAGCGACCACCAACTTATTTTTTCGTATTGCACGCGGTAAGGGAAAAGATGCTCGATAGCTTTGAAATGAAATGCATTAAAAACGCCATCGAACCATATTGTTGGTATCACAAGGGGACTGTCCGTCATGTTACATATATTCCGTCGTCTATCATTTGTCCAGCTTGCTCCATGATGCACTCCATAATCCAAAACGCCAACCACAGGCTCGTAATCTAGGAGCCATTGTTCCACGACTCTGTACGGTGGAAGCCTTGTCATTTCATGCGAAGCAAATGAATTGAAACTAAGTACCACATCCTCATCCATAAAAATGTAATAATGGTATTTTGGGGATCTCTTCATTGCAGCAAAATACAGCACATTTCGTCCTGTTCCCCATCCAGTATTAGGATCGAACAGATAAGTGATGTGAGGCGATTTTTGCACCTGACATTTAGTACGAAAGCTTAGCACTATGACATCACAGTGACATGTCTCGGGGTCGCCGATCTCGGAAGAAGAGGCCAAGTTTGAAGGAAGACATTGCTCCGTTTGAGTGAGATAAATGAAAACCTTTGGAGATGAATTATTTGTGGGTTTTTCTGTGGCTGTAGCTTGAGTTGGAACAACCTTTCGACTGATGACCTCACCTACGATAGACAGGGTATTGTAGTTTATTTTAAATTTTAAGAAATTAAGTCAGACCCAACCGGCCTTTAATTATTCAGTTTGCTGCAAAGGAAATAGACCTTTTTGGCTTCATACGTCATAGATTGGACACGTGGTCCGAAATGGGTAGACAACAGTCGCGGCCATAAGGCATTCAACTAAGAAGCGTAAGGCACGGTCGACTATCGCCGCGCCTGTAACTGCCACAAATTCGGATTTGTATTTTCTTAAGGATCCTAAGCTTCAGAAGCTAAGTATCCATGCTTTATTTCTTCAACTACAAGTCGCAAGAATTTGTGTTTTAATTAATCTGCGTCTCGTCTTGATTTAAATGTGATGGTTGTTTTTCAGTTTTTTTTGAAACACACATGGAATTTTAGAATGAAAAAATGTCAAAATAAATACTTAAGGGTAACATCTAGTGCCAACGTGTGTTCTGAACATTTCGAAGGCGAAGATTTTAGATTGCCGAACTAGGAGATTGAAAGATGCCACCTGTCCTTCGTTGTGTTTATAGCACAAATAATGTTTCCAGCACAATAATTTTAGGCATAGTTGTCACAGGTCAGGAAAATTCAGTGCCCGGAACAAGTCTGGGAATTTACACTCTTGATGATGAAAGATGGTGACACTTTCCTTTTGATGTTGATTATGCACATTTTTTTAACAGTTGTCAGATTCCTAACCAACATATCCTTTCCCTTTGTAAAGCAAATTAAAGTTGATTTGTGAAAGACATCATCCATTTTTTTTCCTTCCGTATATTTCACGGACATGAAAGATATTGGATTGGTGAAATAAACTGATGTTGGGTTTTTCGGAAAATCCATGTCACCTTTGGGAATTATCAATTCCTGCACGCTGTCTGTGACTTGCTGAAAGTTTTAATTTATGGGTGGAAAGGATGGCTTTGACGGGAGGTTTGAGGTCATTATCAGGATTTGCTGGTGAAATTGTTAATTCAATTGGTCAGAGAAATTTACGTTCGTCTGGGAAAGTCAAGGAATTTTAAAAACTTATGACTGTGGCAACAATTATGGTAGGAGGTGTTTTGGTATCCACTGGTCTGTTGCTTTGTTTTTCCCTTGTTCTACAGTGTAGATAATAATTAATTAATAATGCTTGATAAAATGATGACAAATTCCAAATATTTTATAAAACTAGTTCAATTTACGTGTTTTTCCAATACCTCCATACTCCTCTGACACGAAAAAGTGTATTCTAACACAAGGTTCTCAAATTCGTTTCGTGCACTGCAATATTTTGATCAAAAAGTCGGTAATTTTGATTTTTCTGTTAAGGCCAAAGACTTGATTGAGGGACAATCTGTGACTAAACACCACATTCTAGAAATGAAATCATAACAAATGGATCGGAGACAGTGTGGGAAATTGCAATGCAGATCTTGGGAATGAGAAAATTCAGTAAGCGCCGAATTAGCTTGGATTTCGGATAATGTAACTCAAAGGCTCCTTCATTGAAATTAGGAGGTAATTTTTAATCATTATTGCCAGCCATACGCTTAAGGATTTATTAGGGAAATTTACCAAGCTTTTTTTCTTAATCTAGTCTGTTCCGTCTTCTGTCCACAAATTAAACAAATTCTTAATTCGTGTCCTTTGCTCTCTAGTTACGGCTAAAATACTGTGCATGGTTTTTAAGTTAAAATTAGCAAATATGATCACAAATAACTCGAAAATCATTAGTTTCATAATTTTTTTAAGAAATACATACTTGTCTTTGTATTCGTCGTTCCAACTGAAGCTTTCGACTCTGTAGGCGAAACATTTCGGTTGACCACTTTAGGCGCTGTGCAAACGAAAGTATTGAATTAATCAAGACCAAAGACGTAAATATCACGAAATTATTAATACGATGGCTGTTCTCTCTTCGGCTTTTTCCAAACTCATTTCTCACTTGAGATTTTTTGTCCTTAGTTAAGCTATGATTTCATTAAATGAAGTTCTTAGTTCTTAGTTAGTTCTTAGTTCTTAGTTCGCCCATAGCGGATAAATCTCGTACTATCCATGCCAATTCAGTATATCACACTATGCATTTATTCAGTTGTTCTAAATATTCCTATTACCACCTCAAATCACGAAATTACATCAACGGTTTCAATAACTGTTTCTTTCATACCAAAAACATTAAATAAAAGTCACTTTACAATTCTTTTTTCACTTTTAAAGCTCGTGTAAGTTTTATAAAGAATTTTCTATAAGGAATTCAGCCACAATGCGCTGAGTAGACATGAATTCAGATATCGGTTCACTACGACGAAACATCACGGAACAGATCTTCGACTTGCGTGGGAGAACTGTAACAAAATTTGGCAAAAAACCTGCGTTTTTGTCGAAAATAGCAAAGCATACCTACTATTCTTCATGAAAATTAAGGAAAAAATTCACTCATTAAGCTTGGTTTAGACGTGTAGATATAAAGTTTCTGAAAACCATGGAAGCCTATTTACTTCATGTTGTCATGTCCACCTGAAATCGGCCCTTCGAGTTGGTAAGCTTTCGCAGGCTCAAGAGAACAGCTTTAAATGAATTACAACCCGCTTTAAAGTCGTTTTCAAAATAGTCTTAATTTTGGAAGTGTTCTTGTTTAAAACCCCGAGATCATAAGTCATGTGCTGTACATCAAATTCTGCAAATCAATTCAAGTCGTTGACTTACCTATTCTGCTGTAAATGTTTCTGGTCTGTGTTCTTTCTCGTCCGAACTCGGCTATGTTCGAAGCATAGAGGAAGAAACCGGTCAAACAAACGATCACAATCAAACTTACAATTTTACTTCGCGTTGTAAGAATCATTTTTGGTTCTGTTTAAATTTACTTCGTTGAGCACGCTTAGGCCAGGGGAAAACAAAGAATATTACACTCTCCTAATAGAAGACTGCAATATTAACATACAGGCTTTGTCTGAAAATGACAAAACAATGATTTGATCTAATTTTGTATGTTAAATGAAACATGATAAGAGAGGATAGTTTTTTTGAAATAGTGAACAGCTTACAACAGGCTCATGGTGAATTTGACCAGCAAAGTAGACTTTATGGGCTGGTTGTTTACACGAGGTCTAACCCAAACTGCAGTTTTACGCTAGCAGTGGGCCTTACGTATTCTTTATAAGAAGGTTAAGTTGTTTCCACGAAATAAATGTCCTTCCACTGTGAGCTTTCGGCCCTCTTGACATTGTTCACTAAGATAAATGTTCAGATAAAGATTCAGCTATATTCAAGATAATTTATAATGCAGTTTTGTTAAACAACGGCAAAAATTTGAAATTTAACCAACCGGCCCTCTGCCATTGTGAAAGCGGCCTACAAAGTATGTTCAGGTGCTGTGGTGTCCCACTTTTTTAGAGAGTGAAGTTTAAATTCCCTTTATTAAAGTTACATTAATCTGTTAAGTAGCAGAGAATGTGGCTACTCTTTCTTTGGTAGGTTTTGCAACCTTCTGGAAATGCTCCGACGAAGGGCTAACGCTCGAAACGTTAGCTTTTTTACCCTTTACGGTGGCTAATTTACGTTTTCAACCCAGTTGTTAACAATAAATTACCTGCTATACTCTCCCACCGACGCAGCACCACAGTTTCTTTAGAAACTTACCCCTTTATTCTTCTGGAAATGACTTTCTTTACATTTCTGGTTATTCCATGTGTTTCCAAGGCGACGACTTTTACGCATTGTTAGGAACCATTTTCGAAAATGTATATTATTTTCTCCGCCGATTGTGCTAAAAATTTGCTTAAACCAGAATATTATTATACATTTTCATGCTCCTTTACTCTTATTAGATAGATCTGAATAGATATATTTGTAGCTTTCGCTTTTAATCCGTGTGTAGCGTTACAAGAACGTGCAAGAAAAAGGGAAATCGCACTAACGATCACATTATAATCACGATCACAATCACGTTAAAGAACTGTTTTGCAAACCAAAACAGCTACACGAAGGTAAAACTATCTCCAAAATGTCAAAGCACGTGTAATTCCCTAGAGATTGTCACGTTACACGCAACGCAACGTAAACCGGAAATGAAACGAGGAAAATGTGGAGTCAGATGCCCATAGCCTTTTACGACAGAAGTGCAGGTGTCTACTAAAAAATACATTGTAAGAGACGTGCACACTGCTCTGACGATTTGAAAACTCGTTCCAAAGGACAACTGGCGCATAGAACACGAGAAAAGAATTGAACCTTCATTTGCCTTAACGATCCGTTGCTGTTGTGGTGAGTTCTGGCAAAGTAATCCATAATGAGCAGAATACAGCTGGTGGAAATATTAGCATCAGAACAATAAAAGTTTGTCTCTTTGTGGAAAGAATAAAGTTTTTGAATCTTTCGGCCATAAAGTTGACTTGGAATGCGCTGGGTATCTTCATGGTCTTTATTATTAGTATGGAGATGATTGTTACAAGAACCAAGGGCCACCAGCAGTGACGCAAAGCGTACGTAAAGTTCGTAGGCTTGCTTAAGGATAAAATGGAAGAGGCAAAAGCACAATGCGATTGATAACAGAAGGATAGAACTTAACTAGCGATTAGCTACTTTGACAAGGGGAGTGTTCTGTACTTTAAAAAGGATGAAGTTGCAAATGGTTAGGAGAAGGAATCCAACTGTCGTTAACAGAACGATAAGAACAGACGCGGGGCTTGACCACATGACTTCTACTGCAGGAAGATCCGAGCGTTTTGACCTCCGTTCATTAGGCTTTTGTCCTCGGGGACACACGGTGCAGTTCATATCATTCACTCCAGCACTAACGGTTCCATTTGTGGCAAGTTCGACAGCAATAGGTCGTCAGCAACTGATATCCACCAGTAAGGCAATCGCCATGGCAGAATGACTTTGGAATTACACTGTGACCTGCTGCAGTCTTCCACTTTATCCTGGAAACGTTTAACTGAATTTTCTTTCGACTTTAATCCCACGATCCGATGGCTAATTCTATTAAATCGTAGTTTTCATTCATCTGAAAATGTACAATATCATAAGACGATAGTAAGGGTCTCCAAGCTGATCAAATTGAATTTCCTCGGTTACTCGTTTAGAGGCGACATGTTTCTCGAGTTTTTCTTCAGATTGCTTATAGGATGGATTTCACTCATGTTGTGAAGAGGACGGGCAACAGCAAAAACGGCATCGACCAAATAGGGAATGTACGGCTTGTACACCGAACGAATTATTGTCTCATAAGAAGATAAATTATCTTTTTGCTTCCAAAGTTCCTTCCACCAAGGCGCTTTCCTTTTCAGAGGATTTGATCGATTTCTTGATCAAGAAATCTTTGAAATCTGGAACATAAAATGTCCGAAGTTCAGTACTCAGTGAGCCATGGACAATTTCTTTGAAGTCCTTTCCAGGTGTGAAATTCTCGCTGAAAATCAATGTGGTCGAACATTTTTTGTTTTGCTGCTTCTTGAAGAAATCGTCCGATTCATAATCTCCTAGTAGCCAAACCACCACAACACGAATATTTAGTGGCGTTGAAACTTCTTTCCAGCTCTTTCTAGCTTTGTCATGTACTTTTGACTAGGTATGTAATTCGCAAAAAAAAGTCAAAATGTCCGCCTTTTCGCTCCTCAGCTTCCAAGGTCTGAATCACATTTCGACTGTAGAAGTCGTCTGTTGCCAAAGCAGCCACATAGCTCATTTAGTCTGACGTTTTGGAATTCTAGGGTAAATTAATTTTTGCGGACGAAATCAAAGGTGTGTCAGTCATTGCCTTTACAGTGCTTCTACAGTAGTTCCATACACCATATTCAAGAGTTTTGTGTTGAAGCAGGTGTGGGTCTGTTGATTTCACCAATGGCGAACTTCAAAGCCGGTCACAACGCTAAGAGCCATTGTTCAAAAACATCGCATTCGCCATCATCATTGGTGTTTTGAAGTGCAGTCAGTGCTCCAAGTGTGATGTCGCGAGGCTGATTATATCGGACGACTATTTTAAGGTATTTATGGGTATACAAGCATTTTAAGACCTTCACTCGAAACATTAGCTTTAGAAACTCTTTACGCTGGCTAATCTTCAATGCATTAGATAAACCAAGTTCTTGTAACACCCCCACCGATTCTAGACTAAGGTAACAAATTTTATTTGAGAAGTATGAATGTTCTCAGCACCTTTTCACTGAAAAATGTATGAACATTACGTGGAGAAGTTCCATGGTGATCACAGGTTAAAAACTAACGATTTGTTGACCGTATTATCTAACTTGACTAAGCTTGCGACTAGTTATTTAAAGCAATTGTTTCCGTCTCAGTCGAAACAAAACAGAAAATTTTTGCTCACAATAACTTCCTTTTTGTCTTTGCTCCTGATTTTTACGAAGACACGCTGATGCGCTTTCATTTCAACAGGCTTACCCGCCGAGCTTCTTACGCGTCGTCAATTATTTAATTCGTTACAAGTCCCCTGCTCCTTCAACTATCATGATCGCAAAGGACTCGGGTTGAAAGTAAGTCAAAATGGCCGCTGTCAGTCGAAGAAGAAAGACCTTGCATTGTTCATTGACGTTCTTTCCGCGCTTTTCCCGCGTTTATTTGTCGCAGTAATGGATACAAATGTCAAAATTTCCATCCCCTCGTGGTCTTACACTCCTGTGAAGCGCATGTTTCCTCCTGATCATCCATTCTTCGAGGTAAGCTTCCAACGGTTATTACAATAATTCAGATTAATGGCAGTTAATAATAACAATAATGATTATAAAAAATCTTTAAAACTACTTTATGTAGCAACTTAAATACTTGATGTACTGGTATCCTTTATAGACGAATGCATATTAATACAGAATTGTTGTTAAGTTTACACGCTTTTGCGAATTGTTTAATCGTTTTGATAAGTTTGGCGCAGCAGAAAATTTGCCCATCAATCACCTTACTCACGCAGACCATCAAAAATGTTTTTCTCTCTCTCTATTTTGAACAGTCTAGTTGGCTATTAGAACACGACTATTTTTTATTTAATCTCTCCTTGTTGTGGTTGCTATAAAACATTTCTCAATATGATAAATTACCGCCTTCAAGGAAACACTAAGTTACTTTGAATTACCGTCATTTTGTTCACAGGAAGGAGAATTATTTTGCAATGTTTTAAAGAAAGAGCTGGATAATAGCGAAGAAGTTGATACTCTCATGCAAAGGTAGGTCTCAAGACACATAACTGGGTTTTGTTACGGAGTTACACTACTATAGTCTGTGGTAGTGTAATAAATGGTTTATAAAGTAATACCTCAAGCTGTACCATAAAAAATGTATCTGCCTGAACCCGTAACAGGCTGATGTGAGGCTGCATCTTGCACTGATCTTTCTTGCAATAAATTATTATCTCTCCTGTTCTCTTTAGCTTTTGGCTCCTCTTTTCAGGGCATCTACTTACCAGTGCTTTCAATAAGATTTGAAGAAGGTGGGTACCTTGGTAAAGCACCTGCTAGGGATTATAGCATAAAAAATATTTCTTTCTTGTAATCCCATTATTTCCATTTGGAATAAACTGGCTTCAATCAGAGTTAGATATAGATGATCATTAGATATTTGTCTCCTTTATTACATGATATTGTTTAACTTATTGTTTTATTTTTGACCAAAATCTTCTGTTTGCTGACATGCAAGCCTGCTCCCTGAGTTTCACCCAAAAAGTCCTTTAAAATGACATATGAGCCTAATGGTTACAGAAATTTAAGTCAGTATGTTCTTGGAAACTCAAATTATTTTTGTTGGAAATGTATGTTGGAATATATGATTAGACAATTACAATCATTTTTATTAAAACTTGTCTGCAAAGGTAAAAGTCAACTGAAAGAACTCTAGATGATCTCAAGGTGTTTTAGGTCTCGCTTCATAAGTTTGCTTGAAAGCTTC